CACGCACACACAGACAGACACACTAACTGCAAAGACTCCCTTTTTGTGCTTTGCACACAGGAGTCAAACATTGTTATGTAAATTAGATAATGAAAATGCATGGAGCTAAAATATCATCACATAATACAACAAAACCCTATACAGGAAAACTGTCTACTTTTTCATACAAAAAAACTTTCAAGACTTTCAGTAAAAAAACTCTACTTTTACGTTGGTGTTCAGTTTAGACAGGTTTCACATTGCATTGCAGTGAGTCTACTTACAATAAATGGACAATCTCTGGAGTCAATCAGCACTTGGTAATATGTATGTGTTTTACCTCGTACTTCCTTATTGCCAGCATGTACATTGTCAATGTTTCCATCCACAGGCCTGAAATATACACATAATTGAGCAATACTCATCATCAGATCATTAAGAGCGCCATCTAGTGTTCACTTTATAATATACAGATACAGTATTCACAGACAAAACAACTAATTATTGTATTGCCTTTTATTGCAATTTCTGTACACTTTATTAGCAAAACAATAACGTTTAGATGAATTTAAAACAAATCATCCTATGTTCCAATGCAAAAACATTTGAGACATAAACAACAACAAAACACTGACAAAACGTATTTTATTTTTCATTTCATATAGCATTGGATATCTGAGCAATTTTCAAAGTATTCCCTTTATTTCAATTTATTTATCCTTACATACTTTTTGCTTTTGAGTCATGCACAACACAGTAATAAATACATAGATAACTTAAGTTTCAGTATCACATGGTATTTTTGTTTAAGTAAAAATCGTAGACAGAATGACTAACAATCACTAAAAAAGTTCTCAAATTACCATACCATTGCGTAGCCGATATGTTTGATTTCACTGTTGAAATGTATTTATCACAAGGACATAAGTAGAAGAATGAAGATGGGCTTTGACTTGCATGTAAAGCTGCTTACCTATCCTCTTTAGTTCCAATGTCTCTGTCATAAAGCCTTGCAAGCCATGGAAATAAAACTATACCTCTATATCCAAACACTTTGTGAAGAAATAACTGCAACAATTGAGATTAGAAAGTAATAAGCACAGTAAATTCATCTATGTACACATGTATAATCAGGACGACATCAATCAAATGATCAGCGTTTACATCTTAATTACTTCTCTGCCATAGTAAACATTTACCTTGATACAATAGATATTTTTCAAGACAGCTAAAAGTCACACATTTAAGTACTGTTGATATATTCTCATGAATGAATCTGTACATCCCGAAAATACCAGGATGTGTGACCTTTTTGAGGGTCAAATACATCACATTTTGTTTATGATCCTAGTTGACAACTAGTTTTGTTATATCACAAAAATGTTAATCCAAACGTCAGTGTTCTCCACAAGGAGTTTTAGGTGGGCGGCCCACCCCTCAAGTTTTACGGCCGCCTAGTAACTCTCAACACCCGCCCACCGACGTACATCCAGCTGAAATTATTTGTAAAAAGCTTGCATTGTTCTTCCCAAGCCTAAACAAAAGAGTAGTTGCCCAACCCTTTATTTTGCTATTGTTTCAAGAGTCCAAACATAAACAATGACCACTAGAAGTCTGCAAGCAGTTATCAAGTGTATTCATGGCAATGTGTCAATCGCCTGAATTCATTGTCGCCCGACATTGTTACCTCCATGTTGCCACTTACGCAACTACAGTGGTTTCAATTTACAGCTGTATTTTTAATAATCGTCTTCCGATCACGAAGGAAGGAAGTAAATACAAACGAAATATATATGTACAGAAAAAAAACAAATATATTAGCAGATTGCATGTAAACTTGAAAAAAAAATTCTAGCAGTATTTACAACGTTCGCTCCATATTCATTATGAAAACAGCATGGAGAAGGCAAACTGATGACCTTTTGGCCTACCCCATTCAGCGACCGTCGATCACCCACCGCTGTTGGCGCTGTAACGATTTAGTATCTAAGTTGCATAAGGGAACAGCGCATTCTGGGTGTTCATGTACTGAATTCTGAAAGCGGTAAAATACATCAAACATGGCTGCCGGATTAGTTTAACGAGAGTATTTGTATTTGAATACATATTTTAGTCATCTTTTCGACTTACTTGTTTTCAATTTATCGATTTTTTATGCACATAGCAGATTCTTTCATTTTGCCGATTGCTAGCATTTTTTCTTGAATTCCAACACAACGTGTGAAAACGCTACATGTCGTGATCGTACATGCGTAAATGTATCGTACCGTCTGTCGGCATGGGCGAGTACTGATGCAACAAATAATAAAATTGTGGGTTTTATTTTGACAAACCGTCCTTTCTTGCTTCGGGGACAAATCACCTCTTATATTTTCTACATTATAACTCAGTTATGTTTTGTACTTGCTCTTCGTTACTCGAATTGCATTTCATGAACGCAGAATATTTTGAGAACGTATAAATCACCAATTTCAAATTTCGTAAATATTGATATTGACCAATCTGTTTGTATTTCAAAAGATTGTAACATGTTTCAATTAAATTTTAAAAAGAATAGTAAATACAGTGTTCTCCCCAGAAATTGTTCATAGAGTCACGACTAATTCGCATATAATTAGCATAAATTAACATATTAATTGTCATACGGGGAAATAAAACAAAACCAGTTTTTTTCCTTTTTTTCTATTTATTAATTTTATGTACAATCTGTATACAATTATTGCACTGCATGTTTAGTATTGCAAATGTCCTGCAGAAATACTGAGTTTTCTGTTTCTTTGCTTGGCCGGTCCCAGTAAATTAAACATGGAGTTGATTATTCTCATTGCTTGTCTTCCGTTTCTGTTGTTTTCCGGTTAAGTACAACAACTGTTACGAGTCACGATACTTACGCTACTATGTTCGAGCAATAATAGTTTTTCTGGCTGAAATTATCCATCTTTATGTATTTTTTTTAATCATCGATGTTGTCTGTTCAACACAATTGTGAACAATTCGAGACATCGGAGGTCTGAATTACGAATTGTCGCCATTGTTATATCACGTAAAATTGAGGCTTTTCTTTTCACAAGTGTCACTCCAATTTCCACACGTTTCTTGATTAGAATTCCCGATTTTCAATTATGCTTCACATAGTTCATCCAAATCTAAGCACGATATGTGATCCGAGTGGGAAGTTCACGCTCGTTGGATCTTACGTGGGGTGACGCCATCATTCACAATTACGAGGTCAAAATTGTTTACATCATAAATATATATTTTTTCACATTTTGATCTCAAAAAACAAATATAATATCAAAAATACTGACAAAAATCAAAACTGAGAATAATAGTACGACTACATTTCTAAAAATAATAATGAAAATGCGTTTCGTACACACCGGAAACATGTGGCTTTTGACCCCAAGTGTGACTATATCATTTGCATATGAATATACGTTTGGCAAAGAGCGTTTGACACCGGGGCTTACGGCTTTGTCTTTATAGAACTGCTTTGTTTTTTTAAAACGATATCCAACCAATGAGAAATAACAGGGGATTATCCCGGGAAATTGGCGTTAATACAATGCATTTGTAGATTTAACTAGTTAGCCAGGAAACTTCACAGTATGTGAGAGACTGAAGAAATTAGATAAATAATAGCATCGCGGAGGAAATACATAGCGTCGCGGAAAATCCGATCGCGTCGGGGCCCGCGACGCTGTTTTGGCCTGGGGAGAACACTGAGTAAATAACTTAGTATGTATTGCAGTTCATTGCAAATTTATGCTAATTAGGCCGCCCACCAGCTGTTTTGGATTGTGGAGAACACTGAACGTCTATCTATAATATCAAGCAGTGTTCTCCCCAGGATGTAAACAGCGTGGCGGTCCCGCCACAGTGCTTCGATTTGCCGCCACACTGGTCTGACACCGCCACGGTGATTAGCAAGACCGCCACAGTGCTTTTTTCATTGGGGATCTCGTCACGCTGGTCGGCCCGACCGGCACTCAAAATTAGCGACCACAACAGAAACGCTTCCGACCAGGACTATTGCCATATTGTTATAATACTTACGTACCGACCGACACGCATCCTGCCAGTCGTGGATAATAATTTGTAAACAATAGACATAGTCCCGCAATTGAACAATACAAGTCAATTTTGTAAAATTAGCACCTCTTTGTTTGTAAGTAAATACTTTCTGACGATAGACGCAGTCTTCAGATTGAAAGCTAAAATTCTTTCAAAATCAATTCCACCCGATGTAACATGGGCAAAGCGGAGTTCACGATCAGTTTACGCTACTCAAGAAAAAACAACGTGTTTATTGCGTGATTGGGTAAAATACATTTGAACTGTTATCATCGTGAATCATGTAAAAACTCTTCTTTCAAGACTTCTTTTACCTTTTAAAAATTTCTAATCACCTTTTTCGAAAACCATCATGCAGTTTTCATCTGAAATTCATACCAACACATCGTGCTACGACAACGCTTTACTTCCGCAATGTAATTTTTATGATCACGATCATTCGGAAAACTTCGGGTTCTACCGGCATTACCATGCGGCATTCTGATTCGTTAATGACGTTTTTGACCCACCGCGTCAACTAACACGTCACAGCTATCATGGCGGGTCTGTGTCATTGACGCTGCAGTTCGGTGTCTTCTACTGGGACAGCGCTTCTGGTGACGACACAACGGGGTCTGTGTTTTTCACCGCAGTGATCGAGTGATCAAAAATAATTTCTCCCGATAAAACTAGCTCAAATTTTACGTTTTTTTCATATAAAAAAAAGAAGTATTTAATTTTTGCATGGCATCATGACCGAGTAAGAGGAATTATTGGTATAACCGGTGTATAACATCGCGAAGTAAGTTATGTCACGTCGTAACTTTGATGATGTTTGGAAGTGTTATTTGTTCGTTCATTTACTGTAAATGTAAACATTGTAGAAGCTGATGGTCGGAATAATAACCAGCAATCCGCCAAATAATTACGTGGTTGATTTTTTGAAGGAGAATTTTGTAGTAAATAAAGATCATGAAAGTCGTGAACATAATCCTGGCTCAAACGTTTCAAATTAGTTTCATTTAACCTTTTACAATTTATTTGTTTCTTTTTAGTGTGCAGCATTTGCATTTCGAGAATGTTAAATTTTTAAATTCAAACTCTTCTAAATTGTGAAACGTAATATTTTGACTCCAAAAAAAATATATTTACACTGTGACGGAGCTCATTAATATTACAAAAGTGCCCAAAATAAAAGTGTTTATAACACTGTGTGAAGCAAATAAATATCTGCCACTTTGTTTTTCAAATATACGTTGTTTATTGTGTGAGTGTAAATGTGCTTTGGTCAATTTCTATTATTATGTAAATGATATGCAAATTATATGCAAATTAGGCCGCCACAGTGGTTTAAATTCCTGGGGAGAACACTGTCAAGAGTTGGTAAAACCTTTAATTTAAAACTTATAATGGATATGCACAAGCCAAAGATTGTGTTCATCAAGAATAGAACACATTGCTGATGTAATCAAACACAATATCACACACACACCAGACACAAGCAAATGTTTTATTTTATCAGCCATAATAAAATTACACATTATATTAGCAGTGTAATAACTTAATGCAATATTTTTGAGCAGATTGCAAGAAGTAATTGTATACAAGTCACCATGACATACTATTGTCATGTATTACAAAATATAAAAGATTACACACCAAAACCTAATGTAGCCAATAATCTTTTATGCCACAATGTATTACATGTACCTAATAATATTGGGTTAATTTTAGATTTACTCACTTGGCCTGTAACATATTTGCCTTGGTCTTTGGGTGACTCTAATTTACCAACAGTTTCCAATTTCCTGCAAAAAAAAAAACACAAGATGGGACTTTTTTATCAATTTTCATTCAATTGCTGTTTGAGGAAATCCCATTCTATTCTAACGGTGGAAAGAATGGCATTATTTTATTACACTATGATTAGATCACATTATATTGCAGAGTTGCACAGTCATCTATTCTATTCTACACTACTCATGTATTATACATTGATTGAATATGCTAAAACTGGCTCAAGACATCAGGGTACCATATAACGTCTGAGATCATAATTTTGAATGACAGAACTGCTTAAATTTGAACAAATGTGCTTATTGACCAAAAATGTCATACAGTTGGATGACAATTTTGGTTTCAAATACCATAGGAAAGTGTATTATGTTCTTCGTGTAATGAGGTGCTCGTATGAAAATAATGAATACAGTCAAATTTTATTAGCAGTTGTTTTAATGTTACACCAACGGATTGTTTGGCTATGAAAATTTGGTATTTTTCCCCTGGGTCTCAGAATTGTTATGTGCCTAATAGTTCTGAAGATAAAGTCTGTAAAGAATGTATGCATGCTCTGATTGCCAGAACTCAAAATCAATGGCTCACTGACGTCATTTTTTAGCTCATTTTACGATGCATAGATGGTGTAATTTGTGCATCGTTTGCGCATTGTGTCAACACACGTGGTGCTTTTCAGCACAGATCTGTGGGAAAAGTGGTCGGAACTAGCGCCATCTGTGTTGACACAATGCCATTTTGGAATGCCATAAGTGGTGTTCTCACTAGACAAAATAAGCCGTTGTCACAACGACTTTTATTTGAGAACGTTGTTAAATTGTGTGTGTGAACAGAATACGTCGTTGTGGCGTCAGCGTTTTCGACACCGTCCTAAAAGGAGTGGACCAGATCCTAAACGCCCTCTATTGCAGACTTATTTTGACATTACTTGCTTGACATTACACAAGATCGCATCAGAGGTCACAAGTCGAATGTTGAACTGATCAGACGAAGACACTAGATCACTGATCTCTGTTTGGAAAGAATCCTATTTCTTCCCACCAGTTATTTCCGCGTTGTCGAGTCTGAATCGAGTCACCCAATACTGGAGTTTAAAATGTCTGTGTTCACTTTCTTTGTCGTCATCGCGTCTTGATTTAATGAATGTGGTGAATGAACAAACACTGAAATGGCAGAAAGATGTTTCAGTGACAGGCCATGTCAACCCAGTAAAAGAAGACACTTATTTAAATAAAACATTGAAAAAAGCTTGAAATCTACCGGTAAATACTATAGGTGAAAATATTTTTGCTTTGAACTACACAGGATATAATAAAGCTGGATGGTCAACAAATCAGTATGCAAATTAAATCCTTTGTTTTCCACACAACCTGGTATGCACACCAAATGCATTGGGAACACTTGACTTGAAACTTGACCAACGATCAACAAAGTATACAATATAATGATTAATATTCTGAAAATACTTCCCCCCCCCGTTTTTCCCTACAGAAGTTCTCGCTACCTCGCTACTCATAAGGTGTCATAATTATGGACAATGTCTACTGTTGAGGTCAATCCAGCTCTCCAATGTAATTGTATAATATGCCCCTCCGGATAACAATACATGATATGAAGAGGAGAATATACAACTGAGATGGAGGAGGGGTACTGGAGGGGCAGGGTTATGATTAGAGTTATGGATGAGGGGGCCATAAAGAACTCTTATCCTTATTTCTGTTGGGTAATAAATCTCGGATACTTTTAACCTCACAGAACTGACCTTAAGTTTACCATAACCTCATCACAACTGCTGATTTGAGTTCAGGTGCAATTGGCTGAGTTTGCTAAGGGTTTGTCTTGTGTGAATGGACTTTGATTGTTTTGAATTTTGCTTTGGAAGTCTGCGAGCACTGAGAAAAGAACGACGTTACTGAGACAGCGGGTCATCTGAACTAGGTGGGTCGAGATTTCTAGGGGTACTGGGTCGAGTTGTCCAATGAAAAGCGGATCGAGATTTTTGGGGGTCGGGATTGTACCCCCACACAGCATGCACGAGCTCACACTGTGGATACATATGTGTTATGTTCATTAACAGATTTCAGGGTAAATTAATCAAGAAAAAACCACCTACCTTTGTGAAAACGTTCTGGTATGAATGCGGTTTCTAAACGAGATCACAAATAACGCACCAGACCTTCGACACGAGTTACGAATAACTGGAAAAACAACCTTCGCCACGACGGCGGCCATGTTGAAATAAATATTGAACCTCGATTTCAACTCGAAGCACATCGCCCTCTACGGGTACTAATACAATTTTTTATTTCGTTTATATCCAAAATGCAAGACTAGAGCCTAGAAGTATGTATGGGGGTCTAAAAACTAACTATATGTATAATTCATCTTCTGAGAAGACTCGTCAATAACCATACCAGTGTATTTTCCCGAAATGCCGGATTGCAAGACTGTGATTATCAATACAGCCACCACTTTCAGTGAACTTGAATCGCGGTATGATGCAAGGTGGGGACAGTGATTTAGGGGGAGGCGCCCCCTTCAGCCCAAGTTTCTGGATCAGCCAGTGGTGTACTAGTAAAACTTTCACCATGTGTCAGTCAGGCATGCCTTGTCTGATGTTCGATTTACGGCTCTGTTTTCGAAGAAAAAGAAAAGCAAAACAATATGTACCTCCTATCCTCGTCATAATCACGTAGATTTTTTTTTCACAGTGAACGCGACCCAAACGTCGCGGGCGAGTTCATTTTCTATGAGTTTCTTTGGAATCCCGGTTTTTCGTTTTACTGCCAATAAGCAAAAAATCAGAAACAAGAAAGACCCTAACGGAATGACTATATACATTACACTGTGTGGTTAGATTCGTGTTGGTACGTATGATTTATTTCAACTTACATTATTATCAATAATCTACAGTGTTAGTAAATGCATGTATTCTTTTGGAAATAACAGAAATATAATCAAATTATGTATTCTGATAATAATCTTGGCTTCATTTGTAAATATGACGGAATATATGTACTAGTACATGTCTACATCACTGTCTTTGTAGCTTCGTGCCTTCGACGATAAGCTCGTAATTTTGCCTGTAGTCCATCGGCGAGGGCGCAATAACTCACGCGGGTGACGAAGATAGGCATTTGCTCGTATCCTCGGGGGCGGAGCATGTACTATATGCGTTTAACGTTATTCATTCGCCTCTACAGCCGACAGTAAATATATAGATATATAACTACTTTCACAACAAGTAATACAATATCCTCGTAATGAACTATCGGCTATTTGGTAAATAAATAACAACTATGATGTAATAAATGCATATATATTACATGCATTTATTATAATTAAAAAAAAATAATATTTTTCCTGTATCGAGTGGCCTTGGTCACATCTCGTACGTCTACCATGTCCTAAGTAATATGTTTGTCAAGTTTACTATTGCCAGTGTCCCGTGACACAATTATATACAACATGATTCAATGGTCGACATTATTTCAGTTAAATATGGAGGGTTCTTCGGCACTTTGACTTTCTCGTGCTTCGTCTGCTCCCGTCGTGACGTGGAGACGCTGGAGAAGGTAACACCAGTCGTGGTGTGGAATCGGGAGTTAACGATTGCACACAATCTGAAATATAATCACACATTTATGACGTAAGCAAAGTGTCCTATTGTTGGCGATACACCACTGGCACTTAAACGGTAGGGTAGTACCCTATCATATTGGCATTGACTTCCGATCGTGACTGCCCATGCATCGGCGCTACAATGTAACGATCACTCTCAGCGACTGGTATTGACCATATTTATTGGCCATTCATAATATTATATCTCCAATTTTCTTATTTACTATTTGAAGTTCTAGTAAATAAACAAACTCTCCGGTATGATATTTTTTTTATTAAATGCATGGATTGTCTGAAAACGACTATTTTTAGTTGTTATACTCAATGATCACAATATTCCACACACGAGACTCACCTTCATCCATACATTCGATGATTTTCTGTGTTAAGTATTCAATCCTTCTATCTTTAATACTAAGCAATTCCCGCAGGCCACTGTTTTGTTGTCGATTCCGCTCGTCCTGCTCTACTAATTTTTCGATATTTTTTCTTACCAGGGTCTGAGCGTCCTGCAATGCGAAAACGCGTCGCCTCAGCGCAGTTATAGTTGTACGCTTCCACCAGCAGACAAGTACAAGCAAAGCGTATCCACTGGCGCAGACCAGTTTTGTTAACATTCCCGGCGTACATGCTGCCATTTTTAATTTCTCGTCCCCGTTTTATGTCGAATTCTTTTCTTGCTTCTATTCTTCTAAGGGTTCTGTATATTCGAACATCGTTTCGCGCATGTACACACCGAGGCGTTCTTTCAACCCCCATACACAATGTAGTAATCAGTAAGAGAATAAGTAGAAATTTGAAAATATAATCTTTCTTGATCAGTCACATACCAAAGAATGCACTGTAACTGTAATTTTATAATAACAGAATCTAGCGCAGGTTGCCATCTCTTTTGAGTGTTGTCTAATTGTATATTTATCAGATAGATTCTTTAAAGAAGTGATTATAATCACTCAGATATGGGCGATCATAGAAGTCTGGCGGCGATAAAACCGGGAAAGGCCGGGCCACAAATTACGAAATTGGACACTATGTCTTGTAAGGTTAGCAACAAATCGTCTCCGTGGTCTGCTGTTTTAAGTGGGACTACAGGGACGAATGGGGGTGGGGGTGGTGGGTGCTGGTATCTAGTGTATAGAAATAGATAAAAGGTGAAGGTTCCAGCGATACCATATTTTTTTTTAAATCAGGAAACAACCGAAATGAAATTCAAATTTAATTGATAAAAATTGTAAATACCAGCTTAGAGAATATTAGTTGCTCTTCAAATTCCACCAACTCCTTAACTTTAATCGCCGATATCAATAGAATAAATCATGAACAGGTTGCGTCATATACGAATTCTGAGTGGTGTATACGATTTTACCGGCACATTGTTGGAGGCGTGGCCTGTTTAGAATTTGCCAAGACTGGTTAAGAACCATAGTGGAGACACGAATCATTTAGCAAAATTTGTTAGAAAAATGTCATAGGACACAGTGTTTAAGTAACACTTTAAGGAACATGCAGTTATTATACGTAGATTATGCACGACAACAATTGCATTACACCTAGTCACGTTAAAGGAGTGTTGAGAACAAGACTATAATTCATCGAGACCACAGAATATGATATAATTTGTACTGCATATATATGATTAATTGTTCAAAAATTCTGCAATCCTGGAATTGAGCTTCTCTCATAATGATTTTGTTGATCATAGGGGATTGCCAGGAACACCATATTTTTGAGAAGCAAATGAGCAACACTGTCGAATTCCCGGGGTGTAACATTGACACCTAGTTACGTTATCGGAGTTCTAAAAAACGTGGTACACATGGCTACAACCTATTTCATCGAGACGACACATGTATGTGAAAGATTATGTAATGAATCCCTGTATCTGATCATGCAAGGGTGCGCCTTGCAAAATGAATTTACTGACCAAAGTGGGTACGGTGACAAAAACAAGCTAATTCATCATATCTTAAACGCCCTCTTACGACCTATATATGCACAGAGATGTTTATGCGGAAGTCACAAACGAACTCAGTGTAAACAAGTATAACAGTGCAGGGAAAGACTGAAATCGGACAGTCATGGGCGCTTTTCCGTCGAATATGCGGAACTGTATTAAAAAGGAAGAGTTACCAGAGGGGCTAACTATTGAAGAATGGACCCAGGTTAAGTACCAGGACACGCTAAAAGCCAACAATCACGAAGTACTGAAAGATATGCTGGAAGCAGGTCTACCCGTTGACATGGAATTCGATTTTCTGGACGACGAATTGAGTCAAAGATCATACCAACAAATACTATACGGACTACGCCCGCCATTAACAGTCCTAGAAGTGGCGATATTATGCTGCAAGGGGACAGAAATGTCAACGTGTGTTAAGCTTCTCTTTGAATATGGTCTAGATCTGGAAATATATCAACAGAAATATTGTTCACCTCTTTTCATTGCATGTCATATCGCTAATCTAAAATTGATCGAGTTCTTATTAGAAAAAGGAGCCAGTGCAGAGGACGAATTACTTGTCTTTGAAATGATTGCGTGTTTTAGATGGTGTTACAAAGATACAGAAACACATGCCAAGTATGTCAAAATAATAGAGCTTCTTCTGGAACACGGGGCAGATGTTAAAGCCAGACAAAACATCCCGGAAAAGGTACATTGCGGTAATATTACCATGATGCATTGGGCTGTCATAAACTGGACAGATGGGATGAGTCACATATGTGAGCTATTACTGAAACATGGCGCGGACATCAACGCTAAGTGCAATTATTACGACGACAACTCCGTGCCCATGATGTTGTTTGCAGTAAAGGTCAAACGAAATGACACTAGCTGTCTCGAATTCTTGCTTCACCATGGTGCAGACATTAATGCTGTAAATCTCAAAGGACAAACAGTTCTACACTATCAAATAGTGACAACTAAAGTCTTGTCGTTTCTTCTTGATCACATACACAATATCAATGCGGTGGATTTTAGTAACAATACCGCCTTGGACGTAGGTATCCGAACCATGCAAGCAGCAGAATGTTCAGTGTATCCCGCGTGCGATAGACCCAGTAGAGATTGCTGCATTGAATGGGTTATTGAGATGATCAGAAGGGGCGGACAATTCAACAACATTTCAAAGGAAATAATTGAGTATGCTATGTCCGAGACACAAAGCAAAAGTGATGTCCTCTTGGGGTACATCGTAAACTCGTTTTGTAACTGGAATTTTAACATCGACATCGAATACGTTAGCATACACAGCGAACGTACCGCACCTACACGGGCCAGAACGCATTCCAAGTTCTTTGCAAAGATATGCAAATTGGACCAGGAACCACGCTCACTTCAACACCAGTGCAGATGTACTCTCAGGAAATATCTCTTACAGAGATATATGAAAGTAATAACACAGCTCAGCCTTCCTCAAGATATCGAGACGTATCTTGTAATGCGAGAACCGTGTAGTCTGATTTGAGAACTAACTGTTGGTTCTAACTTAGTGTTAATAATGAAATGTCCAGTACTGTCAGAAGTTTGACTTGTATCTTGTATGTAGGTTTACGCTCGTTGAGAGTGTTGTACAAATGTGGCCTTTGTTGTCTTCTGTGTCACGACACAGCCTTCAGATTTTACGGTTGTTTACCAAACCATTTGTCACGTTTGTTAATTTTTTTTTGTCGTCAATCAAAACAGACATAAGTAGATTGTTATGTACTTAGGGGGACTCTTTCAAAATCAACTGGTATGTGAAATGATTTCTTTTCTCAGATTGCGAAATATAAAACGCGACAGTTTTTGAAACCACCTAGTTGGCTGTTTTTTTATTTTACGACAATATTGGAATACATGTATTGGGAACAATACAGATAAGTTTACGGTGTCAAAGAATAAGAAATGTTTATATATACTGCAATGCAAGCTGCTATAGTCTGATGCTATGATTCGAAACCCATTTTATCTGCTTAAATTTAAGCATCTAAACAATCTTAACTTATCGATTTTAGAAAATGCCAATTTGAATTTGAACACCTACAACGTAGTTATTACTACAGGTCAACAACTTTACTGTTATCACAGGTATGGGTAAAGCTGGTTCAAATGAAAAGTTAGTAGCCTTGTTACCGCAATAACACGCCATGAATTCTACTAAATCAACCCTTATCAAAGTGCTACCATTTACTCAAGTCGGAGGCCAAGGACAATTTACAAACAACATTTAGATTTTAGTGGAACAGTCTATTTTCAACAATTTTCTGTGTAGTGATACTTCTAATAATATCTGTAATATTTGGTTCGTATACTACATGGTACATATCTAGAGGTAACCATGCATCCTCGTTACATAAGACAGTTGTTGTTTTTACATGCTGTATAAATGTATATAAACACTAACATTATACCACAACAATTATTTTGGCAATGAATGGCTAATCAACTACAAAAACCCACACACATTTGACAGAGGAAAACCAAACAAAGATTGTACAGTACATATTATACCAACACAAGTTGTTTCCTTATATTTCGTCTCATTTAATTCACCTCACTCATTACACTGCCTCATAACTATGAGTGTGTGGTATATTCAATTTATGAGGGCAGTAGTTAGCTGGCTCTGACGTGGAAATATGTGTTTGCTCTCCTAAACTCTCTGTGTGGTGCCAATAAAGCAAATACCTCTATGTGGTCACGAAACGCATTTGAAAAGTGTATTGTACATACCTATGGAGCTAGTAATTATTAGAGTACATTATAACCAGAGCCTCCAGTGCGCATGTGGAGGTAGGAGATGGGGAGGGGAGGGGTGGGCAGGGTTTGGGAAGGATAGAGGTAAATATTGTATAACAACGGAATACTATATAATGTACAAAATGTTTGTATGCAATATATGACGAGTAATGGTTGCCATAATTACTATTATTTTATTATCTATATGGACGTTTAAGCATTCGTTTACATGTTTCTTATGTTATATATTCAATTCAGATTTGTGTATTCTTAATAAATTAAATATACTTGTAGTCTGTTGTTATTGTGTTTATTTCAAAGAATGTCACTTAGTGTTCAAATGTATGTAATCACATGAAGAACATATTTGATAACAAGTGACTGTCACGTGGCACGCATAAGTTTGTCATAGCGCTTTGGAATGTGGAACAATTCCGAGGTTACATCTGTTGGAGATGTTCGTTTCAGCTTTATACAACGTTTGTTTTCAAACATACCACGCCTCGATTCACGTACTATACACTCAATCCGTCACATTGCCATAGTCATTTCAACTATTACCCATAGAAATGTGTTTACATAAGACAGGTATTCAGCCGGTAACACCTTCACTAGGAAACAATTGCGGTATGTGAATTACTCGTCCTTTTTGCGTGTAACAATAACTCGTGGCATAGAATAATCTCGTTGAATAGTCAGGTTATTCTGCGCCACAGAACGTTCCATGTTTCTTGGACGCCATCATTCTACCATGTATTTTCGTGGGCTCTGTGTGAGCTGCTGTGGAACGCGCTAAACGCAGCTAAAGTCGAGAAAATATCACAAACTCAACTTTGAGGTAATGCTGAGCTATCAAATGATATATGTTGCACATGTAGAGGTGATCTTGTTACACTGTTCAGGAAAGTCTCAACATTTAATTCAAAGTACAATGTTCTGACAGTCGATGGTTGCCAGTCGGTTAAAATGCCCGGATGTTCGCTCCGAATACATAAAAATATACTCAAAGTACATTTCTACATTATACTTTTGAAATGTGGAAATCAAAAAAATGTAAAACAATTCAACCACACAACTCGATGGATGTGATATGTAAGAACCTAACAGCAATAACTAAAACACAATTTATTGCGACCTGAATAGGTTAAAATACAATACAATTAGGGGAAATGCTATAAAGTATGTTTTCCCTCTCAATTACCTATAGTAATGTTTTCTATTGATTGTCGCCAAACTGACATCAAGAAAGTATAATACAAAGAAAACAAAATCATATCCAAGTTTCAGACCGACAGTCTTTTTCATACTTCATTAACTGGAAAAACAAAAATATAATTAAATGCGAGACAACTATGTTCTGTATAAAGTCTTGGACACGATAACAGGCTTAAACTACGCGTCCCAGTAGTTATCAGATTTAAGAAATATGCATCGTGATTGAAGGAACGTTCTACAGGATCACGTGACATACTGGTAAGCGACAATTTGATGAGGGCGCTGTCTCATTACGGATACTAAGGTACTAGTTAGTACTAGTTAGTACCTTCCATGCTTCAATTATCAAGTAATTGTTTATTGTTGGAAATAACACGACCGGTCAAATGCTGACATATTATAAGTGTTTGAATGTGTACATACATGTCCTCTACTATTTTCATTGGTTGCTCTCCTCTGACTCAGCTGTAGAATCCTCTTTTAACGCCACTTCCCGTTTTAATCTCTCGTTGGCGTGAGTCGTGAGTTTTTCCAAATTGTGCTTGGCGAATTTCGGAGCCAACTGCTCTAATAAGAAATTTGGAATGGACATTTTGACATCTGTTTGGGTGAACTCGACAAAGCGAGTCTTGTTGGGCTCCCTGTAAACAGAACCAGAATAATTATTTTGATTTCAATATAGCAATGGGCCTATTCACTTCAAAGTACATTTGCATTTCCCTGTGAAATACAATGATGTAATCTCATGTCAACGTGCATTGTAAGTCTTTCACAACTAGGTTATCAATGCCCATACCAGAAAAGACACGTTGAGCCAAAATTAAACTATCGAACTGTGTTGATACTGTTTCAACTCACAGTTTAAGTTGATTGAATATTTAACTGGTTTATATGGTGTTAGCCTTTTTTAATGGAAGAACACGGAGCACCAGAATATTTGTTCAATGGAATCATAGCTGGTACGATGTACGAGTGCGTAATGTTGTACAACAACAGTATTGATACACTTTGTAGTATTTTTCAATTCCGAAACTGTGCAACTGTGTCATGGTATGCTAGCATCATATGTTGTCACACCAATTTTGCAGACAAAACTTATAATAATGTAATATTGTAGTGCGCCTGTGTCCTTTTGTTCTTAACTACACTTACCCTTCTATTGAGTAGTAATACTTTCCAGAAGAGTACATATGCCCTCTAACACGGTCATTGACCTCTGGATAATCAGGATGGTCCACGCTCCTATCTACAGGGGAACATGCATTTTTAATTTAATCATGTAGAAGTTTTATCTCGTAATACATAGATTCCAAACCATTAGTTTCAGTTCACAGCGAGACCCCAAATGTCATAGCGTCGCAGTGAAGTCAAAATATCGCGTGGGATTCGAAAAAGCAAAAGTATTTCAGGAGTATTTCCATGCTTAATAAAATTATGTATACACACTTGATGATAGAACACGCGAGATTTCGAGGTTATTACGAGGGTACCTCAGTATGCACGAAGAAAAAAAAGCGGAAGTATCGACCGACGCGCAGCGGAGGTCGATGCGACAGCGTACTGTCTGAGTGCATACTTTGAGGTATCCTCGTAATAACCTCGTGGGAAATGCCGAAATCCAAAAAGTTTAGAACAGAATCAGCGAACTTCTTTGTGCGGAGTCCGGTCAAACCCTGATGTAATTCGTAAAAAACGCAAGTCCAAGGAAATTGTATACTTACTGTAAATTAGAATAGCGTTTTTATCTGGGAGGTGTCGAACACCAAATAAACTGACAAACTCTCTTGAAGAGATCAATCCGAATAAAAAATCGCCGGAAATAAGATGAAATATTTGTAATTCCTGTTAAAGCAAAAATAGGTAGCAAGAATAATTAACCAACCAACCAACCAACCAACCAACCAACCAACCAACAAACAAACCAACAAACAAACCAATACCAAAATGCACATTGTACGTTTGTGCATTAACGTGATCAAATAGATGGATTATGTGCATCTCTTCACTTGGCAATATTCAACACATGTATGCAATGGGGCTCAGAATATACCTTAATTCCACACTGAAAACACTATTTACTATTTACAAGTAGAAAAGAAAAGAAAATGTAAACAATAAACGTGTGGCAATAAACGCGACATCCACAGCGACCGGGGTCATCAAGTGTGAGTCCACCCATCGGAATACTAACGTAGCCTCTCTTCTTATTCCTAAGGTGAGCTTTAGTAAACATTTGTATTTTTACCCAAACCAATTAAGTCACTACAGTCAGTATTAACTTTCTACCTCGTCTATCTTTTCCGCAACTTCCATGACGATGATTCTCTCCTCGAAGGTCTTGAGCCATTCGAAATCCAGAGACATCTCGACAATTTTATGTGGCGGAAAGTCCATAATGCATTCTACTTTCACTCTATTTAAAGGGAAGGAAATTCAAAATTATGGGCATGTGCATGACGGAGAACATCACAGGTGATGTAGATGAGATAAACACTTGTGGTGAAGTGGGGTACTACGTAAAAACTAAGGGAAAGCTATGATGGGATCGCATAAGAAACATGGTACGTGGTACGTATATGTGAAGTGCGTGTGCATATGGAATGGGTATGGCAGGGCATCTACATGTGAAGACGAGCTTCTACAGAAAACGCGTGGAATTGTATGGAGGAGTAGCATGTGGAACAGGTATGTTGGGGTATGGAAATAATGAAGTGTAGGTACTATGGGAGAACACGCAGAATGGTATTATGATACCATGAGAAAATGTGGGGAATGGTATGGTGAAGTAGTACATGGGACAGGTATGGTGGGTGGCGTGTATGGGAAATGGAGGTATTACGAGAAGCCGTTGGAAATGGTATGATGTGGTAGCATATGTAATAGATATGGCGGGGTGTTAAAAATTAAGTGGGATATTATGGGAAATGGTATGATGTGGTGGCATACGGAACAGGTATGGTGGGTGAGTGTATGCGAAGTTGACGTGCAATGGGAATGGTATGATAGGATATGTACATGTGAAGCAGAGATAATGTATGTCAACTTGTGACAACACGTTGTGGTGGGTGGCATATGATAGGCACGTGCATATGTTGTTGGTGTATGATTGGGTATAACACAAGTTTGGTTGGGTAAGTAAATTTGGAGTAGGGGTACAGGGGGTAACGCGAGGAATGGTGTGGGTGACATACTGTGGGGTAAAATGAAACGAGGTAAGTAAATTTTCATGGCAGTCTGTTGAAATAAATGTAGTTACACCAATGGTTAAAGCTACATTCATTTATACACACATTTCACCTTGTACTATATTTGGCATGTCAAACATATTTTCGTATGACGATTATATTTTGAACAATAATTAGTATACTCACAATATTCCATCAAACTCGTCAGACTGTGTAACATGCATGGAGAAATTGTCCTATTTAGCAAAAAAGAAAACAAGGTTCTTTTATCAACGCTGACAGGGTTATTCCATTACACACGGTGTTTGATATAGGTTGAAGGTCAGGTTATAATAGAACACTAATCAAATGCAGATACAGAATGATATGTAAGATTAGTTATCAATAGTAGACTCGCCGCTAAGCTGCAACTACATTTTTTAATATCATTTACCCTATTATGATAACTGTTGACATAGTGACCCTTACGTTCATACTACCAGATGATATCTACATAGAATCACAGTCTGACAATCTGATGGCATCTATGTGACCTCAATATAACGATGGCAATCAGGTATAATGTCCAGTGACAACGAATAAACATCGTTACAATGGCAGTTATGTCTAAGAAAAGAACGATTGGCTATAAGCAAATTGTCACCGTTGAGCGTTTCGCTCTGGTCATGTATGAACGATGGGTAAACGGGCCACTGCGTAGATCCAACTATAATTGTATATACACCTAAATACATACCTCAGATGTTATACACTTCCAATGTTTACTATCTGTTTCATAGAAGAATAGTTTATCAACGATGCTATTAGCAATAGCTCTGTATTTTCTATGTGTCGTATCTGCATCCATCGTAGGTAAAGGCATCTCTTGAACTGTGTACTGTGGATATTAATAGCATACGGCGTGATGGGCTGATACTTGCCTGGTCATTACAGCCGACAGCAACTCGTCATTATCTTTATAGTTTTACAATTATTTTTGAAGGAGCCCGGGCAAATATAGAAGCTTAAAATTTAGAACGAAATCGGGTTTGAATTTCCGCAACTCAGTAAAATAAAGTAGGAGTCTTGTATCAGTGCTTTCGTCCCACCAGCACTGATCCTCACATATGCGAGACATGCAAACTTTGCGGGTATTTGAACTTTGACCGATCGCTACAAGCTTGTAATTTATTCAAAAAATGAACTGCGGGTCAGTTGAAAGCTATTGTGTTAACTCTTGTATGTTACAGTCGAGTATATTGCTTGCTATTATTAGTATTCATATTAATATAAGTTGTTGAGGGCGTAATGCGCGATTTAAATATATAAGTCGCCTTATGATGATTTGCGTGATGATATTATCACGATACCACAGCAACCGTCGTTGCTACGGGTATGAAAATTTGACGTTTGAGATAAAAAATACGTTAAGTAAAGACTCAAAGTCCATGGAGTTTACACTGGCCATTCGGTGCGAATGAGCGGTTCTTTATTTACAAATTTATACTTTTTAATGCAATTTAACTTATTCTGTCCAGTCACCCTTGTTTTTGTGTGAAGAATACCAATGTACGAGAGAGTGGGGTGTAAAACTCTCTAAAACACGCACTGGTGACATCAGAAATGTGTATTAATAATGCTGTTTTACGGCCGTGTCATGACAGCGTGGTTCACGCCCATAATCGCTAGGCGAAATGACGATAGATTTTAGCTTTGCCAAATGAAAAATAGATTTGACGCCCCACCAGACATTCATTAAAGGGCGGCAGTCGTCGTGCCGCGTTCTGTTCGATATGGGACTCATAGCGACGTATACAACGCGTGTAAAATACATTGTTTATTTACATGAAATTCGAACACGCGTTGCGCGACGATCACCGCGCTTTAAATATGTAAGCATGTAAAAATGTCATACATATATAGCATGATATATGATATAAGGTTAATAAAACGTCCCCCAATAAACGAAGGCTAAGAAAGTGATAACGATAATACAACATGGATTACGTATACACTCTGATACCAGTAGTGGTATTTAATTTATTTGATCACAAAACCGTTTAAAAATCAGAAATACCTTGAAATGTGGTAGCGTTTTAGCAATATTAATTCAACAACAAAAATAGAATCTCAACGGAACTATATTCATGATCACTGAAAACTCAACCAGGAAAAAATAGGTCACAGTGCATGCCGTAACCTCACACCAATTTCCTTGACAGGATTTATTCGTGTTAAATATTTGGATTATATGTCTATTATATTCGTTATTGTTCACACACATTGCTACATTTTACCAGCTGCCGATTCACCACTTAAACCCATTGAAAATTAACAATGAGCATGGCGATGATCATAATGTATCACCTGGACAGCTGCTTCCAATCGTCATTTCAACTGACAATGTGACAAAATAACATATACTCAACTGGATATGTTTTACTTCTAGCTGGATAGCAGCGTGGCCTGGAAAAAGAAAAACGGAGAGCAAGACAAAGTAGTCTACTATAGCAACGTCATTCTTTTCATATATTCACATGAAATCTCTCTACCTTACCTGAGCCATTGAAAAAAAAACTAGTATATAAAAACTTCGTTAAATAGATGTGAATTAAGCCAATATACACGTTATTAATAGAACTATAATTGTTCCCTTCCTTTGACTTATAGTTTGTAGGGTACTAGTATAGTCGATTCCATGTCATAGTTCAAAGGTCATTTTGACATGATGTTCATTCAAGTGAAAATAACATCCCATAATAATACAACTGTGATACATAGATACTGTATTACCAAACGTGGCCAAATTAGTAAAAAGATTATTCATAGACCCTGAGACAGAAATAAACGAGATATAATTTTAATTTATGTATAGAAGTTATCCAGGTACTTGACTACCGTGACAATTATTTAAATTTGCCTGACATTTACTATAAAGCTCTGTTTTATGCTGTTGTTCCCGATACAAGTATGGCCAACGAACTACAATGTATCTTTCCCACACACAATGTTGTTTCTAAAATATTCCGTACTGAGCAGAAGCGCATAAGTTTATTCAACACAAGGAGACAAAGGAACGTGATTTGACCACTTTTCGTTTACCGCGAGAATCATGCGTTATGCGTGAAATCGAACGTAAAAACAGGACAAACAAAGGTCATAGCGTCGTAGTGGCGTCAAACATTGCGTGAGATTCGACAAACGTGAAAGTATTTTGGGGGGCATTTCCATGCTTAATGATGTGCTGTACACATTTGATGATTTCGATGAAGTAAAGGTATTCGAAAGCAATATTCCTCTATCGAAGATCGGCCGGTCGATGTGAGCTACAAAATAAAGAAATTCGAGTTCAAATCAAATCGTACGACGCGTGTCTTTCATGTAACTCGCAAGATCTCGCAGTTGAACGGGAAATCACCTATTGTTTCTACTTTATTTAACAGGTTGAATAACAGCCTCTCAACAGTTGAGGGACTGTGGTTGAATGCATGTGATCTTGGCCAATTCATCAACTTGAATGTCGTATGTGTACGACATCATGAGTGTCATTACTTATATTTTATTATTTTTGTTCGACTGAAGCATTGTATTCATGTATGTATTTTAGATATATAAGGCAGTTGAAACTTTCCTGAAATAATTAACTATTAACTATGAAGACTTATATTAGTCTTATATTGGTGAGAAAGGTTAATGTGTTACGGATATACAGTTGTGTCACCGAAATTGACACGGATCTGCAGGATTACTTACATGTACCCGCTGACATCAGCACTCATTGTAGTTTTTATAGAAAATATACATGCCTCATTTGAGTCGCAATACGTGATGATTCCGGTGGTGTTAGAATTAAATCCTTATCGTTTCCATATCCGACAACAGATGCCCATATAGAAGTCATTAACAATCATTTTATGAACCTTAAACCTGAAAAACGCGATATCATACATTCATTCAACGTCACCCTGCTACTGTACACCTCGTTCGTTAGCATTGCCTTCTAAGTGTACCATGGACAAATATATTGTGGTTTTGGCTGTGCTCACTATTATAACTATCTTAAACAATGGTGTAGACGGTAAAAGTGTTCTTAAACGAGAAGATGACTCAGTGGCTGATCCTGATGTAAGATATACTTTACAATATTTTTTTAATTAGTTTAAAAACGGCTCCACGTGATAAGTGCATAATCTATTACCAATTTGCAAATTGTTGAGCAATGCCAAATATCTATATTCATTGAAAATTAGTATAGCAAAGTTTACAGTCGTAACTGACAAATTAGTTTCGTGTAAATGTTCTACATATTTACCGAATGAGACCTGTATAGTCAAACAATTTTGTTTGATTGTGGATTGTGGAGCAGTGGCACGTCATTGACAGGCGCAATTAGTTATATCATGTTTTTTTCGTTCTTAGTTAACTATACTACCTTTACAAGACATAATTAATTCCATGAATGCTACTACGTCATCCAAAAGACAGTTGGCCATCTCTCCAGGTAATTATATTTATTTATGAGATTGTTATCACTTAGTAAAGGGGATCATCTGAGTACCCTACACAAAGTAGGTACTTCGAGTTCGAATCCGGGTTTTTGAGTTTACCAAATACGGTTTCTTTCCATCAGCACCCTGAATTTTTTGTTAAACTAAGTAGTAAGCGGTACTTACCGATAACAATTTCACCAGTACACTTAATAGTTTAATATCAGTATTCTTTAAATTCGTTGTTTGCCGAGCGTTCCAGTTTGTCAATTTTTAAACAAATAAACATCTTAAATCTTTGAAATTATATGGTTTTGGTGCACAACTTTAACTTGCATAGACTACCCAGCACTCTATTATAATACAGTTATCATGACGACACATTCCCTTGAAGACCTCATTGGAGCCAGGCAATAATTAACACTGATGTATCAATATATAGCGACCCATTGTTATACACCAGTGTTCAGTCACTTATCCTAACTAGATTACACCTAGTAATTATCTGGTCCGTATTTATTACATCCATCCATGGGTATTTGATTTATTCGAAAGTATTTATGAAGCTTTATTCTGGTCGCGGGGCTAATATGTGAAAGATTCGATGGTTTGAATGTGCGCAAATTGTGGTAAGTATAACCTTTTTCAGCCAACCCAAGCAATGACAATTGTTTCGATTTGACTGTGCGTTTGAGATTTTTTTTCACATAATCAATTATTTCGCATAACAGTACCCCAATATAATCCCAGTACAGTTTTATGGATGCCCTCATAGTGAAACTTTAACCTTTATCATGTCAGCCCTATACATTGACTTGACTAGATAAAGGTTATCAGCTAAACATCAATGATGATTTTCATGCATTGTAATCTTAGCAAAACTATTTCCGCCAAATTATTCTCAGTTTGTTCTGCATTCGCCGACTTTGAGGGCACATTTGTTTGAAGTAGAAAATCGTAAAACGATCTCTATCGCAACTAATTTCATCAAGGCTTAGCTGATGGATGAGAGAGATGTCTCAAAGGCATCGGTTAAATATATTTAAAACTGCATGAAAAAAGAACTATTTTGACATGGAGGTAATATAACATGAAATATCATAAACTATATTATCGGATTTATCTTTTGTTTTAGTACGGTGTTTATACCTTTATAGAATAAAAAACGACTCGTTCCTGATAGTGAAACAATGGCTTCACTTCGTTGTAAATACAGGATAAAACATGACAACAGTAACAACGCAATATAAGCCAAGGGTGGACGAGTAAGTTCACGAAGAGCAAAATGAGATATCATGCATGCAGTTATTAATTAATTAATTATTATTTTTTATTTCTCCCTTTTTTTAGCAGGAATCATAAAAACAAGTCCCAGCTTATTTGCTTTGTAAATTTACATTCTGAGACAATGGAGATGTTATGTTGTCATTCATTGTAGTTGTAACGGTGACCGTGATTCGAAAAAAGCTATAACTTTGCAACTGTGTCTTGTTTTAATTGTTTTTTCTTTTCTTTTAATAATTAGATACAACGATTGGATACGTGCTGTTTGCAACTTGCACTCACATAGCGTTTTGGACAATAGATTTCACAGATATATTTGAAGGTGGTCAGATGTTTATCAAAGTTTATACCGACCCCAACCTGATCCCAAATGATTGGACAGCTATTTCACAGAACATGTTTTTCCGTTTTATGGGCCACCCGACATTTACTATCACAATTGGGCCATACGATCCATGTACTACGGTCACGATTATAACTGAACTGGTAAAGATCGGAGAAAAGAAAAAGTTAGGTTCATTCAGTGTGGAGACAGGTATGTGCCATACAAATATGCACTAGCATTTTCACAAAGGCTATAAGAAATGTTTTAATGACATTACACTTGTCATACTGATTTCACCTAAACTTTTGTTTTCAGATTGTCCATGCAAATCAGGAAATGGACATGGTGACCCACACTATACAACCTTTCAACAGAAATCAATTACTTTCGATGGTCCATGTAGTTATATTTTAACAGACACCTGCCAAGAAGCTGAGCATTCATTGAAGTTAGTTGTGAAGCATGAATCCGTCAGTGCCAGTGTTCGTCGCATAGAGAGTGCCAATGTTTACGCTGATGGTCATGTTGTTAACCTAATGAGCAATGGAGACATATCGGTAGACAAACTAATCATTCTTTTAGAGTGCATGTAAAAAATTGATTTAGTTATTATAAATAACAAACGACTACACTGACAATGAAGGGAAGTAATCGTAAATACTATGGATACGACAGTTTCATCGAACAACTTAACACTGTATATTGCCACCAGACTTTTATCTTGACATTACTCATCTTGACCAACCATAATGCCTATACCCAATATATTCAATTATTTTCATTTACCTGTGTTTGTATTCAGGTTGACGGGCAACTATGCACGGGAACGACGTGCATGATTGACGATTTAACTGTGGGCTCGTCAACGTTCAGTCAACGAACCAAAATTATATTCTCATTGACCGGGAAATGGTGGATAGAATGGTCCAGCAATCCGAAAACTCATCGCAATTCGTTGGATGTGGACATCAACTCAGATTCGATACTTATTGGTAAAATGTGTGGACTGTTGGGACCCAAATATCCTCCGAGCGAATCGCATGCCTTTAAAGGTTACGAATTGCCCGATGGCAGGGTTACCATGGACAGTGACGTACTGGGAAACAGCTGGGTACAAGAAGGGAGGTAGGATCATTGTAGGTTATGTCTTTCGCTAAAAACGCACACTACACACAATTACAATTAGAACTAGAATGTTGGTCTTGTTTTAATTCCACGCGACTTGCCTACTCATGATTTTACGGAATATTAAATTATGTAGAATCAACAAAATGAATGTTAATGTGTCTCAGAGAAATATGAGATAGAATTTGCTTACAACTATTGCGATTAACATGAATTTAAATCAATCGAAATAATCTTGCCCTGATTACATGAGTACAGAACAGTGCTTCCTGACTGACTATACCGACTACATATTACTTGACAGCCTATCACTCGTCCATTAGTTTGATAGTAACATATGTTTATTTATTTTCAGTTGTGAAGGATAACGTGATGGATAGAAATGATGGACCAACTGATTTATTTGTCAATGATTAGTCGATAAATATGAAGATAAATATGTTGTCACAATATTTCAATCTGTCTGATAATCTATGAATCCCTGATTACGTTAACGAATTAGAATCTAGTGAACGGTTACGTAATAATGTACTGAAGCTTACCTTTTGAGTGTATACTACTATATAGCAATATTACTGACAAATCACTTATGTAGAAATAAATATCAATGCATACTACAACGTTTGTGTCTCCCCAATATGTTCATTGTATGAAGAACACTACTGTTAGCACCAGGATTACTGTAAAATACTTTATTTTAGCTGGTATTATTTTTCGCTGAAAAGACTTTTTGGATTTTATTTTCACTGAATCATTCCTTCAGCGAAAATAGTGAAAATTAATTACAAGCGAAAATAAAGTATTTACAGTATGTAATATCAATGCAAATTATGTGACAGTACGGAAAATGGTTCCTGCGCTTTATTTTTGTAGTTTTATTTGTGTGTGTACATCTTCTAGTTAGCCTTATATTTATTATACCCTTATTAGATATCATGTCCCTTATATTTTATGATGCCAATGACTCGATCGTATCCCTTTCCTTGCCACGTATTCAACATTGCCATGTGTTTTTCTGTTAATTTTTTGTTTTGTATACACGTACATTTTGAAGTTGTTGTTGATTGTAGCACATCGTGTATTTATATTTTAGAATTTTTGTCCGAACTTGCATTTGTATCTAATAGACTTCGGTGTTGCTTTCAGTCAACATTTGCAGTGAACTGCTCGTGACATTAGTAAGTCTATATATATTATGACAATGGTTGAAATGTTATACTTGTTGAGGGTAATATATTTCAGCTTTAAACGTGTACTTCGAATAACTAAAGTCCCCTGAAGAGTTTAGAGACAGACATAAAAAAGGCCAGACGTCCCCGACAATGAATGGGTCATGACTATGTTTTGCATCGTGGTAGACAGGATGCCAAACAGGATAACTAATAAGGCAGATGGAGCTATGACAACGCAATGAGAGTAACCGGCTGAATTGTCATGGCATGACCAGTACAAATAACCGAAGTACACTTATTTTATTGATTCAAGCTGAAGAGGAAATTAATAATTATATTAATAAATAATTACAAACACGCACGGGCTAATGTTTTGAACAAGAATCTAAACATAAAAATGTTATACCAGAACATGGATTCGCTGTAAAAAAAATATCATTTCTACAGGAATTTATTACATTTAGTGGTTGATTGTTGAAAATAAAATATCCAGTCCAGACGACATTCACCTCATCAACCCTATATCATAGGTAAACATACTCATTTGTCATGGCGTATATTAGCTGTAACTACCAATCGCCGAAAAGCATAGTAAATACGCTATACACTGATACTAGATGGTCGCGAGGTTGCATTCGGGTCGCCAGAGGGCGCCATCTATTAAAATCCAATTTTGTCAGGCGAACGAACCTCCGGTATTACGGTACAAGATAAAACTTTATTGGGCCCTGGGCGAAATGTCAAATACGTCGCCTCTTTCTGGCGACCTCTCACTGAAGATGTGTCATTTACCATAGTGTGTCGTGCATCACAATTTTGTATGGCTCCAATCACGTGTCCCATAGTTTTCACGCGATGTTAGCCTTGTATATGGCTACTTTGACCTTGCAGTAGCGTCTAAAACAATATTTCGGTAAGATTAGGTCATCTTTATGTGGTTACCTTTAAACAACAAATCACAGCTCTTGCCGCTTTAAAGTTTGTTTTTAATTCAGTTGGTATTTTGCATACGAACGTACTAGAATCACCACTGATATAAGGTTATCAGTATGACCTGCACTTTACACCCATCAGTCAATCTCCCACAATGTGTTCCCCTAGCTTGTATCATTGCCTCGTGCATGTTGTTGTGCTGTGAAGTCCTGGTCGGCATACCATTTCTAGATTCGTAGGTTTAGCATCCAAACTTAGAAATGACAGATTACCGCGCCCTTGCCGATACTGCTCTGGAAAAGGTGTTATCCTATGCAAGTGATGAAACTGGTTGGATTTTCCACAAAAATACAGTAAGAATAGACGATCGATCTGTGATTTGATGTAAAATAATTTATTCGCAAAACAGCACTATTATTTTCGAAACAGCAGCCCCTCGAATGTAATATCAGTGTATAGATGTGGGGCTTTCTTGATGTAGGACAAAGCAAGTCATTGTGTCAAAGTGCATTAACGATGCAACACTAAAACAAACAATATAATATAATATACAGTGATGTGTGTCATTACTTAAACTATTATTTATTTGATTAGGACGGAATTAAACTGTACTACAGACCTTCACCTGAATTTAATGGTATACTGTAAGTACATGTTGAATTAAATACAAGCTGAATCAATTATTGTCGTGGAATAGAACTATGCATTGCCTATTATTGAGTGGTACCAGGGCAAGGACGGGTTTATTTATACGTGCGTTTCATGGTACAAACGACTTGAATATTTTACAGTGAAAAAATCAGACGACTGTTCTTCGTATTGGAAAACCTTGACTCTTATCGATACACTTCAATATACATTACATACATTACATACATTATATAATATGTTATCCAAACACAAATACTTTTCTTCATTGACAGTTACAAAACAGATTTTATATTTAATGCATCTCCAAAGAATGTTTATGACTTCACTCGTGATATGGGGTTGCTGCAAAAATTGAACAATAACATTGAAGAAACGCAAATTCTCGAAATGATGGACGTAAGTAATGTAATGATTGCTGTTTAGCATGCCATTCTCTCCCACTGGACAGTTTCACATAACAATACACGGTTATACTATTTGTACATTCAATATTAAAATAGGGAATACACATTCAGATTTGACTGTTCTTCCAGGTCGCTAACTACATTTCTCGAACTTGCTTCATCGTCCGAAAAAGGAAAGGTGCCCCGTTACGTTATTTTAGCGAAAATATATGACAGCATTTGCGAAAAGTTAAGACAAATCGGTTTAGGCAATGTTGGCTTATATTGTTTTGAGGTTGCTTACTGTGTGGAAGTCAGAACGATCAGAAAACGGCAAAACCAACTGCATGACGACCATGACACTCTTAGGTAACTTAACAATAAACCTCTGGTTCCATGCCTTAGGTACTTGTATGAAACATGTCAACTAGCCGGTAAACAGTTGTCTACCGCTTTCAACATTCAATCAAATTTTCGCCCTATCCACCTCATTTTCAATTTTCCAGCCTACTGATTGCTGCTCTTAAGTCTGCCTTTAATATGTTGTCTGATATTGGGTGATTGAGTACTTCTTTCCTTGCTCTGTTATTATCTGTAGTACTTGCTCTGCCTTTACCCTTACATCCTTGTAATCTCAAACGATTATTTCATTCACACATTCCGAGCCCATTTCCGTTTATCCTTCTTCATACTTCTTTTAACTCCGTTATTCTTGTTTCTTTATTTAAAGAAATTATTACCCTTAAACGTTAATGTAATTCGTTAAAACTAATTTACTAAATGCATTGCAACTAAGCTACAATATTTGTAGTTATTAAGACACCAACGCCACTGTCATCTTTTTCAATCCTACCATTGCATCTAATGTGTCTCCTCAACAATCAGAAAGGTAAATGACAAAGAGTCAAATGAAAACATCATTCTAGTTTTAAAGCTGCATTTCTATTTTGTATTATATCCAGAACTCATCAAACTGATTATAACCTGTAGTAACGCAGAGAATGTCGAATTCATTATTTTACACTGATAAACACCACTAAACATTTGAATTATCATTGTAAATTTAACAAATCTGCTAATTTCTGCTTACGTGATGCGACAGGATTTAGCAGTAACCCGTGTCGTCTCGGCAAGTCAGTTAATGGGACTAGTATCACCTCGAGAGTTCATCAATGTAATAAGCTGGAAGGAAATTCCCGAACACAATGCATACACAGTGTACCGTAAGTTGATATATTTATATGTTGTACTAGCAATATAACAATGACAAGTAAGACAACATCACTATGCGTTTTCATTAAACACGCGAATACCTAACCTCCTTTATTAATGTAGTCCATATCCATTGTATTGACGTTTCAGATAATAACGTAGAACATGCCAGTTATCCAATAGTACCAGAGTTCGTACGTGGAACCACTTATCCATCGGGGAGACTGCTGTATCCAGTTGAGGGGTAAGTAAAATTCTGAATGTTTATTACCCCCGTTGTTGGGGTATTTTTGACACTTCGTGGTCTTAAGGTTCCCAACATTATGATTTTAAGTACCAATTCTACGAGAACTGGAATACTCCAGTTATAATGTTACTTGTAAACTTGGGTAAAAAAAACAAACATATTGAAACAATAAGCGACATTAGCAGGGTCAAAATAGAAGGTGTTATTATATGACCTGCTAATGTGAATGGCACGCATTTAATGTCAAATGACAGGTTGGTATCAGTCACCTATAATCCATCATTGCATGCAATTACTGTGAACAAATTTCATTCACTATACATTTTTGCTGACAATTAAAAATGACAGCGAAAATACGTGGCTGGTCGAAGTTATTTTATTTCTTCTCAAATGAACGTTGCCCAGGCATATTATTTGCAAAAAATAAAGTTGATCAGAGAGACAAATGCCAAATTTTTTTTGCGATAAATCAAAAATGGTGACCAAATTGTGTGACTGATCCACATTATTTTATTTATTTAAAAGATTTGAGTCAAACAATATACATGCACAAAATTGATTGATTAGAGTATTTTGACATTTTTTCTTGAAAATTCAAGATGACAGCCAAAGAAGCTTTAGCCGTGCATGCTGCATGCGAAATAACATGTTGATCAATTGAAGCTTGCGTGAGAAACAAATATCCAAGCTTTAAGGCGTCAAAGACAACAGCGAAATTACGTGATTGATCGAAATTATTGTTTCTGTTGTCACTTGAAAGGAGAGATTCAACTTGAACTACGCTTATTTCAAAGAAATTGGACAACTATGGCATCAGTGACATATGGCGACCAAAGCCCTATAAATTGTAATGCTCATTATACAAAGATCCTAAAAAACAAATTACACACCAATACACCACGTGACCAGAAGGCCTAGATCCTCAGTAGGGGGTCAATTAACCACTTCCGATTCAACTTCAATCCAAGATGGCGGCCAAACAAGTCGCCCAATCAAAATTCTCCAAGCGGGTTTCCCAAATGGCTTGATGGGAAAAGGGCGAAAGAAGAAGTGGATCTGAACGATATTAACAGGGCTCCAAGCCGGATGATCTGTACCTATAAAAATGCCCGAAACTGTGGTTTATTCCTCTAAAAATATAAATATATGTCATTATTAATAATTAATGATGATTCTTTAATTTCAAAAAGAGATTATGTTGTGCATACTAATTATACTTCTAGTCTGTGCGAGTGTTATAATTTAACTTGTTGCAGCCACCTTCAATTCAAGGCGTTTCTTTTATTTGTTTTACAGAGAGCCTAATAAATGTCGTGTGATAGGCTTCAGTCAGAGCGATATCAAGTTGTCACCACAGACTTTGGTTGACAAGTTCACTCCTGGTATGATAATTGGGCATATAAAGAAAACAATGAAACTTATAAATACTGGTCAGTTATGTAAAGCCTAGAGATTGACCGTTGCTGGTCTCCAGTCTGTGTAGTTGAGTGCATTAATCTTAAATGTAAATGTGACCTTGTTATTTTTTTTTATCGGAATTCCGTTTTAAACTGTTTTGGGTCGGAACAGCAATTTGAATGTTAACGAAAACATTTTTGAATTATCACCATTGTAGGTAATGTCCTAAATTCATTCGTTTTCATACACAGATATATGTATTATGTTGTGTTAAGAAAGAATTTTGCGTTACTTTCATTTTCTCGTGGTTTAATTGGCTTTATTTTGTGTACGATGGATTAGGATTCGCGCCGTTTACAGACGGAATTTAAGTTTTGATTTTTGAACAAGGACACTTTTATTGGGTGTCAATTCGACACTTCAAGTCTCTAGAAGACAATGGAGATTTCTATTGACTATTGCAATCAGGGACACGTTGTGTTGATCGAGACAGAATTTTTTATGGTTCAGCGAAAGGATGCGTTTGATGAATTCTGTTCAATTCCAATTAGAGTTGAAGAGGTGAAACAATGACGTCCTTGAAACGAATTTACTGCGTTATATGTACAATGCGGGAACGGAGCTTCAACATTTTCTTCTGGAAAGGAACTCACTAAACATTTAAGAATCGATATTTAATGAGTGAATAGTGAATACACTAGGGTCACATGTAATGAGCTG